AGGGGGAGGGGAGGGGAGAGGAGAGAAAAGAAAAAAGAAGGAAGCACTGTCACTTCTAACTACACTCCTCAGAGAAGCTGTTTACATCAGCACATGCCTAGAACCATGTGGGGAGGGGCGGGCAGGAGTCTATGTCAGGGTTTGCCAAACATCATCGGGGAAAACGTTAGAAATACGCATTTGCAGGCTCTCCCCAGTCCTAAGTGTCACTATGGTGTGGGCCCAGCGCCCTGGGCTGCACAAGCCCTGCAGGGGGTCCTCACTGTCCTCAAGTATGAGAGGCGCTCCCCGATTTCATGAGAAAGCTGCACTGAGATATGTCCTTTAAAAGACACACAGGAATTCTATCATATATATGTAAGAGAGAGATGCATTTTATCCAGTGCCCAGAAAACAAAAAATCAAGCTCTTCAAGTAGCAGGACGTCTCCATTCTAACAAAAATCTCCTTTCCAGACTTGTTTCAACTACTTACTTTGCCCCCTCCCTTTCGGGCCTCTCAAAGGTTGGAGTGCTTTCCATGACATTTTAAAATTTGTATGAATAGGAAGCTGGGGGGATTCACTCCTCATCTGATTTATGACCAAAAATATCAAGCTCTTCATGTTTCAGCCATGGATGTGCTGTGAACTGAGCATTGCCTGCATCGTGGCTTGGAATGTCACTTCTCCACGGAACCACTGTGGAGTAAGAACTAAAATGCTCTCCACTGACTGTGACAGACACTTACTGACAGGAATAATTAGAGACCTGGCTTGTGCTTTAAAACACCCATGCGCGTGCACACACACATACCCCAAATTCCACTGCTAGAGTGCTCAGCATTGCAGAGGCTGGGTTCCTATGTAACCACTGTCACTGTTGCTTGTAGCACAAAAGTGAAAGAGTATTTTTATTTTGAAAAAAGAATAGTAAAAATGACAGGCCTGTTTGAGTACTCTGCGGTTTAAATCCACAATACACAGTCTTCAGCATTTAAATATACATATAGGACAATTTTGAAGGGAAAATGAATCTCATCTGGAGAATGTGTACCCATATTTTGAGTTCCACTTGGATTTTCGGTTAGCTTTTCAAAGTCTTCAGGTCACCCCCAAATTTTAGCATACCAAACTTCTCCCAGCCTCTTGTAATACTTAATAAGTTCATAATGAGTTCATGTGAATCCAGCAGTAACTATAAAAAGCCAAGTGATGTGAGAAACACTCTCCAGTTCCATTTGAAGTCCCAAGAATGCCCAGCTAGGGTAGAATGACATCATTATCTATGCCTTATTTTAAGCAACTTTGAGTTTTTGAAAACATTTTCTTTTTTAACTTTAAAGACAGGACACCCAAATACTCTCAGGCTGAATTATAGATGTATTTTTGGATGTCATTTGATTGACTAATCAAGTAATGTCATATAATTATTAGCAGAGTTTTGTTTTTTTTTTTCTCCTCTCTGAGCATCTGTTTGAAATCTGATGCTCCACACCACCACCAACCTGCACTTACTCCGCAGCCTCAGGAAGCAGAGAAAGACAAACCCTCATGTAGTCAAACCAGGTCCATGGTATTTTGTTTGTATTGGTATTATTTGTCCTAATACACCTGAGCTGATCTGCTCATGGCTGGCACTCAACCAAACTGAGAAACTAAGATCGGGTATTTCATCCATCAATTGTCAATTATGCAGGGTGCTACGGAGTAAACAGAGCAGGACACTAGCATAAAGCTTGCAAAAATTCATATAACTAAGATATCATCCAATAGAAAGCCTTGAAAGTCTACTGATCACAAGGCATGCATTTGCATCTTTCTAAAAGTTTGCAATAACTAGCGAGAAAACATCCCAAGCAGGACAATAGCAAACTTCCTTCGTGCAACCCCAAACTGCCATGAATTGAACTTAAAACAGATTTGAAATAGCACCTGCCCACCCCTTCCATACTGGGAACACAGACACCCTATTAAAGAAAGGCCTTTTTTTATGGACCCTCTCCTTTTGGCAGCCCCTCTAATTAGAGAACAAAGGTCCTGAGATCTACCGGCTTCAGTATCGACCTGCCACATGAAGGGCCACTTTCATTTCAGGGCCCTCCCTGCCTCAGCACCAAACAGAAAAGCACAGCTACTTACGCAGTGGATGCCCAGTCCCCAAAGGTACCCCCATCTGCAAGAAGGTGGTTTTTGTCTGGTCCAGGGGGCCCATGGGCAGCGGCAGCCGTGGGAGATGGGGAGGAAAATGAGTCCAGGCTGCTGGGAGGAGTGTCCTCCTTAGGAAGATTGGGACGGTCACCTGGGGAGGAGAAAAAGCCATCAACTTTCAAATACTCAGAGGAGAAAAAAAAACCTCCACTAATAACTACATGGTATCACTTGATTAGTCAATCAAACTGTATCCCAAATTACATTTACAATGCAGCCTGAGAGTATTTTGGTGCCCTGTCTTTAGGGATTTTGGTGTTTTTTTTTCTGTTTTTAATTTTAACCAAAGATGCTCAAAATAAATTATAGGTAATACAAAGTGAGGAGTGTTTTCCCCACAAGAAAAAAAAATAATCAAAACTCAGGTCAAACGGAAGATGAAAGCCTTAATGGCGGCCACAGTGACCTCCTGGTCTCTAAGGAGCACAGTCATAAATCAGTGATAACCTCAAAAACAATCCAGAGCAGTACACCAGTCCTGCAGGGTCCAGTCTCTCACTTTCTAGTCACATGATGGCCCTTTAAGCCACTGCCAATCACCACCCAGTCATAACAAATTCAACAACTTGAAAGGGACCTTATCTTCTGAGCTGGTATCTTGGATTACAATTTAATAGCCCAATTTATTAAATCCCGGACACAGAGAAACTTCCATTTCCCGGTGAACATTAGGGAGGATGTTCTACAAGAACCAGACCCCTTTAGTGACTGCAGGGGATGACTTTAAACCCAAATGAAAATGCATTTCTTAAATGGGTTGCATGATTTATTCGTTCACGGAGGACCATTTTGTGCAATGCGTTTGTATCATCTGTACACATTATGGGCTTGGGTGGGAAATGCAGAAGGTAGAAAAGCTCAGAAGAGCAGCCGTGTCCCTCGACTGGTCTCCTCGCTTTCACGGTACACTCCCAGCTGCCATCAACACATCTGAACAGCGCGCACTGAAGCTTGGACCCTCCAGCCAAAGTCACAGTCCCCATTAAATTGTAACTGCTCCGGGGCAGCAACTTTCTATTAAGACAGCACTGGCTTGGCCTTGATTTTATAAATGCTGGGTCACAAGAGTTGCTCAACAAACTGCCATGGCAGATGACACACAATGTGGAGGGTCACAGCCCAGCCACAAACAGCTTCCAGCTGATTAAACCTTCGTAATTCCTCAGTCCCAAGTCCCAGAAATGGAGGGTGTACGAACACCAGAAACAGCGAGGAACGTGGTCTTGGAAAACCATCTTAGATGGATTTCAATTCTGCTAATAATGGAGCACAAGAGCAATCCTGGGCTCTGATGAAGCTCGCTCCCAAGATACTAATCTTGAAAATTGACTGTATAAAATAATTCTTACTTAACTCTGACTTAGCTTACAACTAAGGCTAAAAGAATCTTAGAAGTGGAGATCTGGAAAAGCAGAATTCAGGCCAGGAGGAATTAGAGGGGCTGGTGATGGCTGGGAAGAAGGGACCCCTTATAGAAGCAGCTAGGGGAATGCATGATCCTATGATCCTGTGCAGAAGATTGCGGTGAGGGAGTTTTCTGAACTTTTTCTTTCCTAAGTGCATGGTCAGCGAGAGAGATACAATGGGGTGAGAGGTGAATGTGATCTCTGTGAGCAGGTCTTCTCTCTGGGCAAAGTCGCTCTACAAAGCCTTGCTCTCTCTCCATGCACAAACACACAGCCCAGAAGACCATATGCTTCCTCTTTCAGTGAAGTTCCTTTTTCTACTACCCTTCACCGCAAACGTATTGAGCTAACTGGAATAATTCAGTCCCAAAAAGAAGGGCTCATTTTCAGGCAAATGAACCCAAACCCACTGATAGATCTCTATGATTTCCTTTGGATTTATTTTCGTCCTGGGATACAGTCCACTTTGAAACAAAGGCTGCCTCTCCCCACTGTGCCTGGATAGCTCAATCCATCCAGTTCTTTCCTGCAAATGAGACCTGGAGCTCCAGCTTTCCAGGACCCTTCTGTGTGTCGTTCAGTCATCATGGGCAACAACCCCCTTCAAAACTAAGAAGGTCTCCTATGTAACCCCAGCACAGAGTCTAAAGTAAACTTCTGAACATTTACCTGCACGACAGCTGCCAATTCAGGGCTTGGCTAGAAGTTGCAAAATATGACCAGCTCTGCAGCAGGACAAGATAACCTCCAGAGTGGGTCACACACTAGCAGCTTCCTGGTTGCAGGAGACTGGATGTTGGCCCTCTGCTCTCTGGGCTGCAGGCCCTGTCTCTGGGGCAGGGCCTGACACAGCAAAGCAGCAAGTGAGAGTCTGGGCCCAGCTATTCCCTGACTCACTCCTACAAGGAGAAACGTGTCAATGAGAAGCTGCTTTGGGCAAGTGGAGCCCAAGGGTCTAAGGTTCCTTTCAAAAGATACCTAAAAGGTTCTCACAACCATATACATTAGCTCATCACCACCCCCTCCAATCCTGTCCCTAAGCAGACTGACACAGCACAAATTGTCACTCAACATATTAAATCATGTGCTAGTAAGAGAATTTCTCCCTTCCTTCCTGCCAAACAGTGGCAACCTGAGCCCTCAAGTGAAAAGAATATTGATACAAGGGCATAGGTTTACACAAAGTGATCAAACGAAGAGATCTCTCAGCCTGCTTTCCATGTGCACAAAATTCCTCTCTCTCTCACTGTTCAGGAATGCGCTTATCTACTTGAGAATCACTGCATTTGAGGAAACACTAATATCAGGCATATAAAGGTTAAATAGTCTAAAATTTTAGTTCACCAAAGTTAAATGACTTCTTTTTAACTAGCAGGAAAATAATAAAGCTTTAAAAAATTCTATGTTTGACAATATCAGGAATAAAGATTTTAAATCCTATGAAACTAATTTGTACTTGAGAACTACAGTCCGACACCCTCGTCATTTTTCACCTTTTATTTCTCCAGAGTGTCACACAACC